CAAATACATTATGACCAACACTACATTTTTAAAAAAATATGCCAACATTAAATAACCGATTGAGGTTGATATGCTGTAAACCAAACCAAACCAGATTAAAAAGGAATACTGGTTTGATTCCTCTCAAGAGGCACATTTTCTTTAGAAAAACTTTCAAACTCTAGGTTGGTAAAAATTAATTTCAAATTCTGAAAAAAAAAAAAACATAAATATCTATTCAAACTTTTTTACTCACTAAATATAATGTTTATAGTAATAAGAAATAATTTTTAATTAAAAATATATTATTAATTACTAAAAAAAAAAAAAAAACTCATTTTCTTACCTGGAATGTAAAAAGAGTAATTTTTAAGCAGTTAATACATTTTTTACTTACATTTCTGTTGTGAAGATAAAGGTAGCAGAGAACTTCATATAACTGGATACAGCTCTGTGAACCATGCTTTCCAAGTTGGGCAAAAATGATTTCAGAAACACCTTGAGATTAGGTTGTTTTCAGAAAGTCCTTCCATTGAATTGGCTTGGGTTCTTAGGCAGAATAATTTTGAGTAAATGGCTTTCCAAAAAACTCAATCAAGCTGATTCACAGGTTGTGTGATTCTGTGTGTTTCCATTTATATTGTGATTGTGTGTCCATCTATAAATAGATACATTCACCAGTGGCTTCATAGGAAAAACTTGACATTCTGTTGTCCTATCTTCATCATTGTGAATGAGGGATTCAAAATTTAGACTATATGTATTATCACCCATAATACATTAGAAGTGAAGAAAGGAAGCTACCTGTGTATCCTACATTTAAAATAAACTTTTATTTTTAAGGTATTTCAGTTTTCAATTATTCCAAGACTTCAGTCAGTCTCAGGAATCCATCAACTTTAGTTTTTATGTGACATGTGACTGGCTTAAGCTTGTGACATTTCAACCTTGAGCTTAGGACTTTGTTAAATCTTATCTAAACACAATATAGGTAATGGAGATACTTGTCTAGTCTGTTGCTGAACCAATGACTTGTATTGTGAAGCCAATTACCCATGTGTATTATCAAATCTGGTGTCATGAATAAGGATTCTTGATCCCAAGGAAAGACACACTACATGTTGTGCCGCATTTGGTGACCAGGGTAAAACTTGCATCCAATCAGTGTTCTTAAACAGCTTACTCTGTCCTAGAAAGGTCACATCAGAAATCTAAAACATTGTTTTTGATGTGACAAATTAGCAAAAGGACAGATTAAAGCAAGTCTGACTTAAATGAAAACTTTTGGTTAAATTTAAAAGAAAATGTTGTTTAGATAAAAAACACTTTTTTAATCATAGATGAAATATCTTAATTTCTTAATTCCTTATTTCATAGAAACTTGTTTTTAATCTAGTAAGTTCTATGCTACCAATTTGTACTTCATGGACATATCTTCTGGCATCTTACTTTCCAGTCAACTTTGATCATCAAAAATTTACCTGCAATGTCAATCGTTATCTACTGTTTAGTCTTCTTGATTATTCTTGATCCTCAATAATGTTTTTCTTTTTCTCATATTCTTTCACACTCAGCCACCCCTTGCAGCTTAGTGGCTTTATTCCATTGGTATAAAAATCAACTCAATCAATCAATAAAATCTGTTAATGCAGTTCATGAGGTTTAGTGAATTGAGACAGGTAGGGGCAGGCATGGTTCTGTATTTTGATATTCTGAGACGAATGAAATAACCATAAGCAAAGGAAATTGATTGAATCTCCCCAATAAGAAGGGTTGATCTCCCCAATAAATTAGTGTGCAATTCTTGACAAGCAGTATTCAGGTATAAACTTGAAAATCTGTTTTTCAGCATTAAATTAATAATAAATATATATCTCAGGATATGGGTCAATAAAATTTAATGAATAGGAACCAATTTTTACAATAGAGTTGAGCAAATAATTTTCTTTTAACTTTGTCTCTCACACAGATGGATAACGTGTGTTAGTGAATTTGTTTAGGATAGAATGCAAAGCTGAATAAAGTTTTTATCAAAAAAAAAAAATAGTTCCACTCAGATTTCCCAAAAGTTTTCTGCTAAAAGTACAGCTTTCAAAATAATTTCTAAAGTCAAGGATTTCTTATTTGCATCCAACACACCCTTCCACATATTTGCTTGTATTTTTCATTTTGATGAAATTTCTAGCCATGACCTTCCATTTTGGCTGTTAGAAGAGAAGTTCATTTGATTTTTTGTCATTTGTCTTTTACTTTTTTCATTTCAAACTAGATGAGCTTCAAATGTAAAAAGAATCTGCTGGAAAGAGAGAAAAAAATAAAACAAGTTTAATTTCCAGTTGATTGCTTTTGTTAACTGGACCAAAGAGAATTTCAGTTCAAATGCTTTTCAAGGCTGCTGCCTTCTTTGATGGCTCAGTGGCAGAGATCACTGCAATGGAGAGGTTCATTTCTTTGTTGCTAATATGTGACTATCTAGAAATGTAGAGATTTATTTAGACTTGCTTTTTTTTCAGTTAGCTCTCCAACCATCACCTGGTAACTCTCATTCAATAATTTTCAGTAGACTTTCAAAGGAAATGTTACACACACACACATACACACACACACACACATTTTAGATTTTGTTTTTTGCCACTGTTTTTTTTTTTTTTTTTAGGGATTGAACTTTTTACTCTGGCTTGTATAAATTCCCAGCACTGCCATTTCTATGTTAGTAAAATATGAGAAGTGTCTTTGAAGTTTACATAATTCTTTTTATTGTTTGTGTGTGAATTCTTTTTAAGAACTTTTTATGGAAAAAATAATAATTTCACTTTATTTTGAAAATCATGGCTGAATATAAAATGCAAAATCAAGACTTTTCACTTTAATATTTAATTTGGGGAAAAGATACACCTGATACCTAGCAGTGGCTTACTACAGTTTGTAGCAATAATGAAGGCTTTAGGATATAGTTTGACAAATTTAAAAAATAAAAAATAAAAGTGATTTTGATCTCAAAAGTGAAGAATCTTCTAGAAGACTTCAAAACTTGAAAACTGAATTGGAGAAATTATTTATTTGGACTGTTGTCCTCATCTTTGTTGCTATATTCATAACATTTCGGCTTATATTAGGGTAGATTGTTCTAGTTCCAAGTGGCATGCCTCTTCCAGATGTCACAGTATCAGTTATCTCCCTTTAACTCTACTCTCCAAGTTTTTGTTCACTTCTGTTATAACCAGGTATTGAACTCACAACTCATTGGCTCAAGTCACCAAATTCAACAAATGTTTTTATGCACTAAGCCATGTGTCCTTGAGAAATATAAACAGATATTGAATTGGAGAAACAAAGATGATGACATAAAGCATGGGAAAATACTTGATTTGATAATGAGGCAATAATATATGCTGGAATCTTTTGCAACAACCTAAAATTCAAACATTTTTTAATCTTACTGACATTTCAGTTTGGTGTCTATTATTATTATTAGCATTATTATTGTATAGAGAACTTTCTACCATCTCAAGAAAATAATTGGGCTGTGTATAATAACGTAATTTGTATGGAGTATTTTCTTCTTACTGGTTGGGAATCTGCCAACGAGGAGGGCCAGAAAAATCAGTAGTACCAGAATCAAACAGTAAAGGTGCCGAACACTGGATCATGATGATCAGGGGCACAAACACGACTTCCACATGGGAACACCACATGTATAAGACAAATGCAACCAAGGTACCATAAACAAATTTCAAACAATGTTTAGTAACAAGGATATAAATCACCTTGTATGGTCAACATGGTGCACTGCCACACACTGACTCTTCCCAAAAAGCAATAAAAAGGCTTTTATGGAGCTTAAAACTTTAGCAGTTTGTTATCAAAAGGAATCATTTGCATAGCTAATACCGCTTGGCTCAGTTGGGGAAGATGGTAGACATTTTCTTCATAACCAGACATTCCAGGGGTTTGCACTGACTCTGTTCTGCAGGGAAGCCATGTGCTTTCCATCTGCATGGATAGTACATCAAACGTCTCTGTTATCAGTAGTGTTTGGCAGCTCTGTCTGCATTTTGTTTCCATATAATTTAAAAGTGATGGGCACATATCGGAATGTAACTAGATAAAAGTAAGGATATTAATACTGCTACAGTTATTCCAACTTGGTGGCCTGACTAATATGGTTGGTATGACTATTGTTACATGATATAACAAGCTCTCTTGATAAGGAATTCACATTTACATCTTGGTTAATGTTACTTCTTGGTTTCAAGTTCTTGTCCCAACCTATCTTAGTTCTGATAACAAAAAAAAAACAAAAAAAAACAAAGTACTTAAATGTTTTGGTTAATTATATCAATTTATAGTTTTTGTATGGCTGCTGATGTCATAAAATGTTAATTTTTGTTTCATAGATTCTGACCTAATCTTTAGTTTCCCAAGCTGATAAAATGTCTTCACATTATTGTGTAAACTGAAAAGATTAGCTTTAATTCTATGAATTACAAAATTATTTTCATTACTTGAATTCTATCTTGATTTGTGCAGAATCGGTGTACAGGGTGTAATTCCTTTCATTTGAGGCAGTGGGTCATTCACAGTCAAATATCTGAAGACATACTTTAAATTTGAACTTGTTTCAAGACTTGGGAAATTGTTTTTATCAGAATTAATTTGGATACCAAATTTCAGTGGGTCCGAAAGATAAAAATTTTATTTAAGTGATATTTCACAGTTATTTGGTGAGTAAAATGGGTTTAATTATTTATAGACTGAAAAATGTGGATGTCTGGAGGTTTTCTTCATCTTGTAAGCAAAGAATGGTGAGGTTCTTAGTCTCTTACTAGAAGAATAATTTCCAAAACCTTTTTTCAATATTTGCTTTTTTGTTTTGAAATCAGATAGTGAATCATTCAAATTATCCAGAGGTTTAAATTTCTTCAATTCATTTTGGTGTTAAATTCAACTTTTATTTGAGCAGCCATTTTGATTAAAATGAAATGATTTTCAAATAAGATATTTTTCTTTTTCTTTTGTAGGATTTGTTAGTTGGTTGCTGCTTGGCTGTTGCAGGGAATCTTTTGATCAGTATTTCTTTAAATGTCCAGGTAAGTCAACTCCATGAGAGGGTGAAAGGTCAGAGCTAGAAGAAATTTAAATCTTTACTCATTTAGCCAACAGCCACTTTTCACTCCTGAAAAAAAAGCATCCACATATTCATATGTGTGGTGTTGAATTGCATGTGCATAGGAATATCTTTTTATCAAATGACCTTGACTCAGGGCTGAAACTTCATTGCTACAAACTTAGACTTGTCATAGTAGGATCAGCAGTAACACAAGATTTTTAGGTTGAGATTTAATCAAGTTTCTTTGCTTCTGACTATACCACAATCAAACAAATGAGTTTCACATGATTTTTAAGATAAATCCATCGTATCCTCTCAGACTTGACTGAAAAAATATTAAATTGAAGCTATTTCTTTATATTCTAATTAGCATTCCTATAAATATTTAAAATAGATGTGTGTGTGTGTATAATATATATATATATATAATGTTGGACTCTCCTGTCATATTCGACATATGAGGGTTAAGCGGATCAGTTCCTAGGAACCGAGAGCCAGACACCAGCACATATGATTTGATTATAGTGGTGAAGGCTTTGTACAGAACCAACTAACCATACTTTTTGAAGGGCTGAATACAGAGACTTGGTGCACTGTGTACCAGAAAGGTTCCCAACTGACCCTCTTCAGGTTTTGAATTCAAAGTTGTCCTTCTCCAAGATCAGTTACCATCCAAGGATATAGAACCCAGTCTGTCCTATTTACCCATAACTGGGGAGAGAAGAGGATTCATACCCTTTCCCAAGGGTATTAGCACAGAAGTGAATGTAATGGATTCAACTGGAATTTGAACTCTGCTCTCCGATTCCTCAATTCAAGCCACTATCTATTACTCCACTGTGCCTCTGTCTCTCTATATATATATATATATATATATATATATATATGCACACACACACACACACACACACACATGGCCATTTAAGTAGATTTGGTGAAAGAAATGCTTTTTATACAAATTTCTAAACAAGCAATGGTGTGGAAGCAATTTAATGGATAGAGGCATTTAAATATAATCATGGCAACTGCTGAATTTCATTTCGTGTATGAGAAAGAAAGGTGGTTTAAGTAACTTTGAATATGTTATAATCGTTGGTGCTAGACAGGCAAGTCTGAATCTCTCAAAACTGGTGATCCACTAGGATTTTCATGCACAATGATGTCTGTATGGTGTACAGAAAATGGTGAGAAAATGAAAAAAAAAAAAAATCCAGGAAGCAGTAATTCTGTAGATAGAAATCCTTTGTTGATAAAAGAGGTGGAAGAAGAATTCTCAGGCTAGTTCAAGCTGGCAGCAGTAGCTCAAATAACCACTCTTTACAATGGATGTATACAGAAAAGCAACTTTTTAATGCACAATGTGTTGAATCTTGAAGTAGATTGGCTACAGCAACAGAAGACCACACCAGGTGCCACTCTTGTCAGATAAGAACTAAATTATAAAAATATTGGTCTGAATTTGGATGGTAGGACCAGAATTTTGGTATAAACAACAGAAAAGTGTATCCATTCTGCCTTGTTTCAACGGTTCAGTCTGATACTGGTGGTATAATGGTAGGGGAATATTTTCTTGACATATGTTGCAACTTTTGGTTTCAATAAAGGACCACAATCTATTGAGGTATTGCAGCTGATAACCTGTCTCAATTTATGACTACAGTGCACCCATCATATTGTGGTCACTTCCAGCAGAGGTCAATGCAATGTGTCACAAATTAGAAACTATGATACATTGTTTCATGGGATACAGCAATGAATTTTTTTTTTTTTTGGTGTTAAAGTGACTTCCATACTCATTGGATCTTAATCCTATAAAGTACCGTTGCGATGTGGTGGAAAGGAAGATTTGAATTCTGTGCATGCAGTCAACCAATCTAGAAGAATTGCCAGAATTGAGTCTTCTGTTCTAAAGGTAAAAGGACATTCAAACTGATGCTAGAAGAGATTACCTAATAAGTGACTCTGTTGAGTAAAATATAAAGAGGATGTCCAATGTTGATCTTTTTATAGGTGTATATTATAGATAAATATATAGGGTGTCCAATGTTGATCTAATGCAACATTAGTGGAATTGGGATTTTCCTGATGCAGTCACAACTTTTCTGGTCTGGTCATGTTGCAAAGATGAGTGACGACAGAATACCTAAGGTCCTCATATCTAGCCATCTTGTCTGTGGACAAATGAATGTTGGATGGCCATGGATTCAGATATAAAGACAAATTAAAGAGTAACCTCTCACCTGTCAATATGCCTCATACTAACTTGCAAGCCATTCATAATAAATTCACTTTGCTGCTCTTTTTATGTAGTTGTCTCAAATGATAGCCAGAAGCATATTTTCATTTATCTCTTTGAGTTGGAGATAAAAGCCAGTGTCTATTGATTTTCCTTATAATAAAATGACAGTATTGATCATTTGACTAAATTTAAACCTGTTTTTTTTCTTGATAAAGTGAAACTGAAATATTTCTTTCACAGAAATACACCCACATGAGAAATGCTCATGTCGAAATGCCTCAGCATTATTTGCACAATCCATTGTGGTGGTTTGGTTTAGTGATGATGGGATTTGGAGAACTTGGAAATTTTTCTGCCTACGGATACGCCCCAGCCTCGTTAGTGGCTCCACTCGGAACTACAACAGTCATCGGTAAATCAATTCTTCTTTCTTTCCTTTTATTTTCAAATGGTTTTTAAGATTTTGGATGAAAATGCAAAAATTGTACGATGAGAATCTGAAGCAAATTGTAAAAGAACATTTCTTTTTGTTGGCATTGAAATAATTTTCATTTCTTACATTTTATTGCTTAACTACCAGAGTCTCTGGAATTATTTGTTTTGCTTTTCAAAGTATGCAACTACTAAAATACAACCCCTTGTGGTGGCACTTTTAAATGATTTTAAATGATTTTTTAAAAAGGTAATTATTTATCATTATTTGAAAAATATTTTAAATATATTTTTATATTTTATTATTTCTAAAAAATATTTTGATTTCTCTCCAACCAACCAACCAAATTAAAATCTTTTTTTTCTTTTCTTTTTCCTTTTTTTTTATAATTATTTTGATTTATATTTTTAAAGTTAGGATATTGAAATATAATTTATATATTGGTTGCATCATATATTTTGCTCCTGCACAGTGAATCAAACTTAGCACATCTCCACAACAAATATATTTTGCTTATCTTGCCCCTGGGGTTATGGCAGCAGTAGCAGCAAATAATCTTGCTTACAAACTGAAAAGTTTTTCCCTATTTGACATGTTGAATCTTTCTACCAATCTATGATTTTTTTTTTTTTTAAATGTGTCATGAAACTGTGTACAAAGAAGTTTTTCATTGACATTCATTTATGCCTCCTGAACAATTTTGGAGATCAAATTGTGGATGTGAACACAATCAGGGTTGTCACATAATCTGTTTCCACATTGGTGACTGTGATATTTGTGATAAGCCATATTCCAAGTAATCATGCCCAGGCTCTTTTTCATTGCTGCCATAAATGCTGACAATGTGTTTTGTATCAGAAAATTCACTCTGTCCAGTGGTGTGATTGTGCCCCATGTGTATCTGCTGTAATTTCCATGGAAATAAATAGGATGTACTATTTTTAGAGTATCCAGTGCGTGTCTATATTGTATGTGTAGTATGTGAATTATGCCGGGAAATACCAAATGATCTGAATCAAATTTAATGTCAATAAGGAGCCTTTGTTCTAAGAGGAATTGATCTGTGGTGACCCCAATATATACTGGGCCATCCTTAAGGGATAACAAAGTAGATTTTGCATGTATGTGTCATACCAGAGCATCAAAGGAGCTAGATGCAACAGGTAGTTTATTTCATAACAACCAACTGCAAATTCACACTTCATAGGATGTCCGTGGCTATCCCTGATATATAAACAGATATTTATCCTAGCTGTATTTATGGTGTGCACACATTGGACAACCAGATATATAAATGTCTCATCTGAGAGGTGGGGAGTGGGGCGTTTTTCACATCCTTGCAAGAAGGAGATGCATGATACAAAGAAAGGCTCCAAAGCCACACACCCTCACACTGATATTAACTGACAAATTTTAGAGGTGACTAAACAATAATTATTACATATGAGAGATTTATTCTCCTGTTCTTATTAGTCTTTATAACAATAACATTACAATTGAATGTGTGTAAAAGATGGAGATATCTACTAAGCTTAACTGGCAAACTTTGACAAACATGGCCGTAATAAGACGGGAATGTCAAAAAGGACAGTTTTTCCCATGACACCGCTATTATTTTAACTAGCTTCACTCTCTCGGCAATATTTATTGTTTTAAAAAGTGGTGATTAGAATTGGAATAAAATTTAATATATGAAAGTTAATTTATAGATTTTCTTTTTTGTTGAGAATTTACAAGAAAAATAATAAACACTATTTATTTATTTATTAGAATTTTTATTGGAATGGTTGTCAATTGATTCAAACTTGATAAAATGTTAAATAATAAGGATTTACTTATAGTTGGTTCACATATTTTAATAATTTGGTAAACATTTAAAAATTTATGAACGAAAATGTTTTCGCATTTATTTTTTGGGTTTCTTGAACCTGAAAACATTTCATTGATTTTAAAACTTTTTTTTTTTTTTTTTTTTGCATGAAATTTTAATTTCTGATTTAACTGTTTTTGCTAGCCAACATATTCCTGGCAGCTGTGTTTTTGAAAGAAAAAATCCGTCCAGAACATTTATTTGGTAAGTTTTCATAATGTTTGATTTGTGCTTGTTTATGGTTGAATACATCTGTTCCACCACATATTTTATGAAAGAACAGTCTTGTTTGCTATGTATTTGTCAGGATGAAAGGAAATGACTTTTGGGTAATTCCTTTAAATTTTTGATTAGCGGCATTTGTGTGAATTACAAGCAGATTAAGTTGCAGTTTGTAATTAATCATATCGTTGCAATGTTATTGGTCCTGACCTGGCATCTCAGCTTCAGTCCCCTTTCTCACTGATGTAAGGTAGCTTCCATCTGCCTTTTCTATAAATATTTTCATGGTAATTGTTCTGATGAGCTTTCCTCTTCATCTTCATGAATTTAAGTGTACTACTAGATTGAAAGCTTGGTCTCGTCATTTTACTCTTGAAATTGTTAAAAATAACTGTAAATTATATTTTAATATTTTCTTCTTTCACCTGTAAAACTCTCTTCTGCTTTCTTGATTTCCTCTTAACTAAAATCTTGAAAAGTTTAAATGTAACATCAATCATCTGTCTCCTCGGATTTCTTTTATTGTCCTTCCTCCTGCATAATGTTTTCTCAGTTTCTTTCACACTCAGTGACCTCCTTACATCTTAGTGGCTTTCTCACCTTCCTTAGTGGGAAAGGATTAAAAAAAGTAAATGTTGTCATAAGATCTTATATATTTATAGCTGGGAATGTTTTTTATTTTCTCGGTGGTTTCAAAGATCCATTCCCCACTTCTTCATTGTCAGCTGTTTGTAAATTCTTAACTAATAAATAAAAGATTTATAATATCAACTGGATGTGATTGCAAGAGTGGTGGCTGAACATAATTTTATTTTTTTAATTGGGACAGTTGAGATTGTATTAATAAATAAATCATTACTGTCTTTCCAAAATATTAAATTTATTCATCAAGGTTAAATTTTTACTTGCTACTCAAATTTCGTTCTTTTTTTCAATTAAACTATTTTAACTCGAGAATCATTTGCTTTCATTCAAAGTGTCAAATGTCATCCTGCCAGGGTTTTAAGACGAGTTAGTTGGATTTGCAAGGTTTTCAGATTTCTGAATTGAAAATAGAAAAAAAGATATCCTGATATCAGCAATCTGATCAAATACTAATGAGATCTCTATTTGTCCCCAGTGTTGAAATTTTCAATGAATGGCAATTAAAAGTAATCATCAATTTGTATGACTTTTTGTAATTTTATTTATGAACAGAAATAATTACTTCATTGACTTATTACCAAATAATTCCTAAGATTAAAAGTCATTAATATTCCTCTTTAAAATGTTTTACAAGTCATCCTCAGCATTGGGAGGTGGGCACCTAAAATATAAATGAGATCATGTTGAGGTTGAAAGCATTGCTCTTTTTCTTTTTTTTTTGGAATGCAGGGGGGGGGCACTTGATTTTTAATCGGTGTTGAAGTTCTTGAAGAATGCTAACTTGGTTTTTAAAATTGACTTCAAATCTTAGATTTACGATTGATCATCAGATAATTCCTAAATCTAAAGAAAGAAAAAAATGCTAAAAAAACGGTTTTATTTAATTAATTATAGTTAATTACTTCCAGGTAATGTTGTTAACTTTAGTATTTAGTCAAAATTTTAATAACAATGGTGACAGTTTTTTCCTGTGACTGCCAGGGCAGGTATAGTATTTATGGAAGTTTTATTTACTAACTTCTGTTACCAATTGTGGTATTCCAGTAACAAGACTTTGGTCGAAATAATTGGGAGTGGGACAGTGCATAAGAAAAAGTGAGTTCATGCCTTTCTGAAAATCCTTTGATACAAATTGAACACAAACAATTTTAGCCAGAAACTGTGATTCTCTTTCAAATCTGTTTACCTGGCTAAAGTTTGTTCATGGTGTGTGTATGTTTGGTGAAATGTGGGTATGTTATTAAATGTTTGCTCCACTTATGGAAAATGGCTGCCAAGCAAAATGCATACTCCCCTCTCCACTAACAATGATTAATGACTTTACTTTACCTTAGAAAATGATAATGTACAAGACTTGTGGCTCATTATTTTCATATTCCCTTAAATTAACCAGATGGCATCAAAATATTGATAATTATAAAAATTGCAGCCAATTCTCACAGAAAAGGGACATCTGGTTTCTCTCTAGTCATTAGCTTCAAATTTTGCTTTTACCAGTTTCCAAACTTTGTACTAACCCTTTTCAAACAGACACTGTGACCACCCAACTGGAGTTTCAGTACAGTACATCACCCACCCACCCTGGTTATGAATGTTATTTCACATTGATATCGGCACATGAAAATACATTAATCTTACTTTATCAGCTATCAACATAATTTCTTATTTCCTTCTTCCAATTTCTGGTCCAGGTTTTAAAGCCAGAGTTGAATTTGCCAAACCATGTTTTAATTTTCTGTTTATTTAAATTTAAACCTCACATGCCATTTTTTACATTTTTACTTATAAAATGTTGATTTCAAGTCCCATAAATGAAGAAATGCTGAAAAATGAAGGAGTGCTGAAAAGTTCTCAACCCATCTTGGTTCTCAAAATCTGTTTAACCATCAGAAATTTACTTTTGAATCATTTTGGTCCATTTGAAAACATTTCAGTACCACTTCATAATTTTGAACAGAAATGAAAGAAATAATAGCAAATAGCAATCTATTACATTTACTTACATGGGAAAGGTATGAATTCTCTTCTTCTCCACCCAACTATGGGTAAATAGCAGGACAAACTGGGTTCTGTAGCCTTGGATAGTAACTGATCTACCACAGAAATAAATGGCAATCTACTCTGGGAAAAATCTGCCTTGTCAGTCATGTATCAAAAGATACATGATTGCCTAAGTGTATATCACGCATAGCACATAACTGACTGAATTGCAGCACTTTGCATGGATCCAAAGGCATGGCTAACAAGGGAAATGAAAAGCTGGGAAAATATCAAGATTTTACACAGGAATTACAAAAACAGTAGACTGTAGTTGCGACCACACTTGGACCCTTGCAAAGTTGTTGGAGGAATTACTGATCCCAAGAAGAACTAAGACAATACTGAATAAAGCAGTGGAGATTTCAAGAGACTTGCTGTCACTTGATTCCCAGATGCAAACTCCAAAATATTAACAAAATCAACTACATTTGTCGTTCGTCAAATAATCTGCATGAGTTTGTCTTTCAAATATCTTCTTGTCCTTTAATTGAAATCTCAGAATGTAATTCTGCAAGATAAAAGAAATAATTGCCAATAATTCATAATGCTTCTTTGTTTCTAACCATCACTGATTTCAATAAGCAAAGGGGTGGGTTGTGGGTCTCCATCACTACCCAATTGCCCCTTTCCCACTTTAATTTCATGTAAAAAGCATTGTATAATAAAGACTGATCTCCAGCACCACTTCACTTAGCAATTACGTAGAAAGATCATTGCTATGATGAGTCTTAAATGTGAATATGAATTTTTGCTTTTTATAAACATTGTCTAAATGATACCTCATTCTGTATTAACTACATAGAATGTCAAATGGTGACTCATTCTGTATTGGCTACATGGATGTTGCTGCAAACATCAACATGTGAAAATGACAAAAGATAATATAAAAAACTTAATGCATTTTTAATGATTTTGAAAAGATTAATTAATAGAGAATTCATTTAAATAAATGCAAAAACCACTGTTGCCTTTTTAAAGGAAAATCGGTTACACATTGATTAACTTACCTGTGTGCATATGTATGACATTATCATATACTCTATATACATCATTTTTTGTTTACACTATTTACATTGTTCAAACTGTTGTCCTCATCTTTCTGGCCATATTCCCAACATTTTGGTCGTTGTACATTCCAGCCTTCTTCAGGCGATTGGAATTTTGAACTGAATCCTTTAGATTGTTCTAGTTCCACATGCCATGCCTTTTCTGAATATCTCAGTGTAGTGAACATTCCTTCTCTCCCCTCTCTGCCTATTGTCAAAAATGGACTGTGCCTGTTTATAAATAGTTTTGTTGTACTAACTGTTCTATTGTGCAGAATAAAGCCTAATTTGGGTTACACTGTTCCGTGTCTGTTATACCTGAACGTACCTATTCTATTATTAATAGACTCTTCCACACATAATAAGTAGTAGTAGTAGTAGTGGTCGCCAGTTGGGCTCAGTGGAGTTCAATATCCGACCTCGACTGACTCACTCGAGGTCGGATATTGAAGTATCAATCCACCACAACTAGATTGCTGCGTCATTAACTATTATTTGAGAATCTCCTGAAAAGTATAGAACAATACACCCCCAACTGATAAACTGTGCTCCTAAACTTTATAGGCCCTTCAGTGTATGAATTAATTTCTGACTGTCCAGACTACGCGAGAGGCATCAATAGGCTCCAGCAATTGTAAGACAAGTCAGGCATATGCTATCGATGCGCTGGCAAAAACCAGAAGAAACACTAGACAACTATCTTCTAAATCTAAGGCATTTAAGCGAGGATTGCAACTACAAGACAGTGCTGAAGAACATAGATCCGAGGACATAAGAGATACCTTCATAAGTGGACTTTTGTCCCCTAATATTTGACAACGACTACTCAAAAATGTAACTCTGGACCTCACCACTGCCTTTGACCAAGCCAGAGCTCTTGACCAAGCTCAGAAAAGTTCAGTCCTACTCTATCTCTCAAACAGTTGTTAGTGCTGCAGCCCCCTTTGAGGGTAACCCCCGCAGCCCAATAGAAAACATAGCATCTGCAGTGGCTTCTAAAACTCAAAAGTGCTTCTTTTGTGGAAACCATATGCATCTTCGCCATAATTGTCCAGCTCAGAACGCCACATGTCGAGGATGTGAGAAAATTGGCCATTTTACAAAAGCATGTCATTCTGGGACATACACCACTCCTCATTCTTCTAATCCTGCACTGATGGCATCATTGTTTACAGATTTGTTTGCTGCAACTACCCCAATAAAAAATGGGAGGAGGGTCAGTGCTCTCATAGACACTGGGAGTACTGAGAGCTCTCATAGACACTGGGAATACTGAGAGCTCTCATAGACACTGGGAGTACTGAGAGCTTCATATGTGAATTGATGGTTCAAAAGCTTTGTTTGCTTACCCAACTGAGGAGTAATACCATGTCAGTGGTGTCAACCTCTCTGAGTTCTCAGACGTTAGGTTATTGCCTTGTAAATTTGGAAGTGAAGAGAGAAGAATATTTTAAACTGTCCTGATTTGTGTGCTGCTGTCATCCTTGGGCAAGACTTTATGGGGCAACACAAGAGTATCTGTGTGAAATTTGCTAGAAAGAGGGCCCCTTTTAAGTGTGTGTGGACTACTACATTTTCGATTCCTCTTCCCCGACTCTTTGCTAATCTTGCTGACAATTTCAAACAAATAGCTATTAAATCTAAAAGTACAGTAAGCAAGATAAAGAATTCATTACTGCTGAAGTAAATAGACTACTTTCAGAAGGAATTATTGAGCCTAGCACTTCTACCCTGCAGTCCCAGGTTGTAGTGACCACTAATGAATGACAAAAAGAGGATGGTGGTCGATTATTCTCAGAGAGTTAACAGATTCACTATGTTGGATGTTTACCCTTTATCTAAGATTGAGGAATTGGTAAACAATATGGCACAATACAAAATCCATAGCTCTATAGATTTGAAATCCGCTTATCATACACACTACTTTCAACAGTTACGAATGCTACACCTCATGAACGACTATTCAACTATCCTTTCTAAACCTCCAGTAGCTATTCTGTTCCAACATGGCTAAAAACACCAGAAAAGGTTCTTCTGAGACAATATGTCAGACAATCGAAGTATGACCCTATTGTGGAGGAGGCAGAAGCCAGTCTTCATTATGTGTACATGCATCTCCAAAACTGCAAAGAAACCACAGTATCACTCAGAGATCTCGTTCCCACTTGTCTTGTTCATAACTGTTCTCCTGAAATACAAGACTCTGACTTACCCACTCAAAACTTTGACACCTTAGATCCCAACAAGACTGAATCTAGTACAGATACACCAGAAAATGAAGCCTTCTCTCCCCTCCCTGCCTATCGTCAAAAATGGACTGTGCCTGTTTATAAATTTTTTGTTGTACTAATTGTTTTATTGTGTCATATAAAACCTAATTTGGGTTACTCTGTTCAGTGTCTTTCATTACACTCAGTATCAGTTATTTCCCTTTACTAACTCAACTCTCCAAGGTTTTGTTCACCTCTGCTGTGACGAGGTATTGAACTCACAACTCTTTGGGTCAAGTTACTGAATTACTTCAACCAATACTTTTATCCACTGGGCCATGTGTCTTTTTTCATGTAACTTTTTTTCCTCTTTTAGGTTCTGCTCTGGCCATTGTTGGTGCCTGTTTGCTTGTGATATTTGCATCAAAAGTAAGTTTTCTTTTCTTTTTGTTTCTTTTCTTTTTGTTTCTTTTCTTTTTGTTTCTTTTCTTTTTGTTTCTTTTCTTTTTGTTTCTTTTCTTTTTGTTTCTTTTCTTTTTGTTTCTTTTCTTTTTGTTTCTTTTCTTTTTGTTTCTTTTCTTTTTGTTTCTTTTCTTTTTGTTTCTTTTCTTTTTGTTTCTTTTCTTTTTGTTTCTTTTCTGTTTTCCCCCTTTTTCTCTTGTTTTCCTTTTCCATTTCTGTTAGCAGAGACACCAATTGTGTGGTTCACGGAAAACCTGTCCAAATCGCATGTTGTCTATTCATGGACTTTGATAATTAAAAACTGGATTTATTAAAGAATTATTTTGAACCAATCTGCATTTCTTTTGTGATTTTTTTTTTTTTTTTTTCTATTCAAATTTTTCAAGTTTGTTTTTTTTTTTTTTTTTTTTTTAATAAACTTTCACACATTGATTGTTATAAGCATTTGGTTGCAAAAGGAATAATGAGGATTAGATTTAATGTTGATTTTGTTTGCTGATTATCAAGATGACAATTAAGTGTAAGGGTAGCACCGGCAGTTGACCAATTTCTTGAGTTAGTTTGACTGAGGTCACAGGATATAGTTATTGGTTGGGTCCAATGCACATATTGGTTGATCAAGGTCACGGTGGTGGGTCGATTCGTGGTAGAGTGCATTGGTTGCTGAGGTGACGAGGGATTGGTGTAGCTGATAGGCCTGTTTCTATGCAAGGGAATGCCTGTAGCCAGTTGGGTATGCCAAGGTGAGTGATGATTGTTATCTGGAACCTGGAAGTGTTGAAGCTGGATGTCATCAAGTCAAGTTTGCTGAGATGACAGCATTGGCAACGAGGAAAGCTGAGTGGTGATGATGCTGAGATGATATAAATCTTGGCAGTTTGGCGTCTGGAGCCTGGCAGGGTTGAAGCAGAATAGTTGGCCGCATTCCATGTTGGTGTGTCAACAGCTGGGCCGTGTTGAAACTGGTCGCTGTTGGTTTCCATGTGTGAATACTTGGGTGATTAGTCAAGCCTGGGAGTGGTAATGGTTGTGTTGAGAGGAGTACTCATGGCAGTGACACTGACCTGCATGTTGACAGGTGGCCTGATGCTGGTAACTGCTGGGGGTTGTTATGGGAGGCCTGCTTTTAAGCAGATCTGGCAGTCTCCAGGGACATCACCTTTTTGGCTGTAATGTTTGCAATTAGTCAGTGTCGCATTTTTTTTTTTTTTTTTTTGCAGGGTTTTGCTTCGATAACCAGGCATGATGCTCCATCCCTGTGCTGGTGGTATCACGATTATGACTAGCTTGGACCAGCTCTGACCAGCCTGGACCAGTTATGACAAGCCAAAAACAGTTATGACTAGATTAGACCAGCTTGGACAAGCTATGGCCAGTTTAGACCAGTAGCCCAAGTGAAAACACTCAGGTCCCCATGTTAAAAACTGACCTTGTGTCACAACCTGACTCAGTGGTGGGGTCAAGTAAATATTCATGATGCTCACAGCCTATGCACAAAAAGCAACACTTATTATTTTGTTTTCTGCTTTCATGGTGTTCACATCATCCAGTTGGCATGTAGAACAAATCAAAAAGAGATCTAATTTCTGTGGAGTATAACAATTATATTCCTCAATTTTTATAGTGTGTCCAAATTGATTTCATTTGGAAATGCTTTCCTGTTGTGAATAGCATTTAGCAATGTAGTTCTTGTCCGTTATTTGCAAAGGAGACAGACAACAGTACTTAACAATTCTAACTCTATTCTATCAAGAAACCAATTTTGTAATCTCTTGATTATAAATCATGTTATTCTTTAATAAAAACAAAAAAGATTACTGCAAAAATGATTTTGATGTTTTAGATTTTCTCATTTAAAAAAAAAAATAAACAGTTTTCACTATTTTTGTGTTTGCTATGAATAAATTTTGTGGCATTTCACAAATGGAGATGTGATTGAATCTTTTCCTTCTAGATGTACCTCAATGCAATCTGATGAAGGCTTTTTTTTTTTTATTGACCCAATTGTTATCTTCTTTTTTTTTTTTATCAGTACATGTATGAAAGATAAAATAGAAATTGTTCAATGAATTTAGAACTGTGTCTAAATTAGTTGCATGTCTAACAATTTGAACTGTTTGATCTTTCAGATGTTGAATGCATTAGTTGCAAGTTGAATGTATTATCTTTGAAGCAGATTGTATTGATTACCAAACTTTTCAATTCCATTAAATTTCCTGTTATTAACCTTGCAGTTTCCTGACCAGTAGTCTGTCATCTTATTCTTGTTTCCATGAAACCTTTTTTTTTCTCTCCTTTTCAGAAGGAACACATTCTAGATGGGGACGAGATTACACACGCAGTCACAGAGCCGTCTTTTATTGTTTATATTGTAAGTATGTTTCCATGGTGGTGAAGGAAATGCACTTCAAATTTTTTCTATTTACAAATGCCTCATAAATTTTATTTTCTCTTTGAAAACTGAGAAAATAGCCATTTTATTTTCTTCGCTTGTTTTCAAATATTTTCTTTTTTTATTTTTTTTTTATGCCTCATCATTCTCGGTGTCTACTTCAAAAAGCATTTTCTGTGTATTTTGGTTGCATTTAGTTTCCTTCATAGAAAACAAGCTTAATTTATCAAGTTTTACTCTTCTTCCATCTGCAATGTACTAATTTCTTTTTTTTTTTTAAAAAACAAGTGAAAGAAGGCTGTCGTGATGATCTTTGTAATAATGAATCTTTTTGAATGAGGTTAAAATGAAATGATCTTAATGCCATCTAACAAAAATACCCAATAAAATTGTTTTATTTTTGAAAATATTTGTAAAAGTTTTCTGCTCCTTTGTGGGTTGCATATAATTCTTCTTCCTTAATTTTATTTTTGATTTATTACTTGAAATTCTATTTTTATACTTGCCTTTAAAAACTTTATTTTTCCAGAGTATTGAAGCAGTTGGGTTGCTTACTTTGTTTATTCTCTTGTACAAAATGCAAATTGAACATGTTGTTGTCTACTTGTTAATTACTGCAATCTCAGGTAAGCAATAGTATCTTTTGCAATTTATATTTTAATCTTCTAGTTTTTAAAAATAATTTCTATTTTTTCAAAAAAAAATAAGATTGCTTTCTTACTTATCTCAAACTTTTATTTTTAACTTTTTTTTTTTTTCTTATTGTATTTGAATTCCACACTAATTTCATGTCTTTTGTATTTCTTCCTCATAATGTTTTAACTATTGTTCCCAGTGGCTTTCTTAAGGTGTCTGTTGTTGTATTTTGTAATGACCAAGAACTGCATGTACAACATTCTTTACAATTGTAATCCCATGAGTCAGTCCTGATCTGTTGTGACCAAGTAAATGGTTAAGTAATAACAAAAACCAGGTTTGCAGATATAGTGCATATTAAACAGTAAGTAAACCAGAAGAATATTACATGACTAGTGAGAGTGTATCAAATGAACTAGTGCTCAATCTATTCACTATTCCCTGTACCCCAAACCTTACATCCTACTAAACTTATAGTAGGCGGAAGAGTCTAACATAAACTCTTAAGAGGGAGGACACCACAACACCCCCGCACTTTCACCCTGACTTTGTATAGTCTTTTTTTTTTTTTTTATAATTACTACACAATACTTTTTATTCAATCCTTTTTCACACAAAAAAAAACATCAGAAACAACCACTTTGAAAAGCTATATACAGGAATTACGTTTACAATTTTTTTTTTTTTTTTTTTTTTTAATGATAATAATTTCCAATAATCCAATGCGTATTGTGCTTTTCTGGTAATTCAAAGTTCATAAGTGAGGAGATGCTTTTTTTACTCATTCTTTTCCTTTTTCTGTAGAGATGGTATGAAATGAAAGATATTCAATATATTTTCTTTTTCGGATTAACTTCTAAAGGTTCCATGAATTTCCTTTTTCTTTTGGCACTGATTGTGGTATAGGAACCTCAAACGTGTCAAAGACAACGTCCATAGTGTCATCTTCTATGGGATCCCTGTTGACTACACTTTCATACCGTTTTCTAATTTGGTTTACATGATGTTTGGGTATAAACTTAAGTCCCTGAACCATGTAAATCATGTTAGCAATTTGACTGTCTATTGTTCCTATCTCCCAGTGAGCTTTATTATTCCCAAATACACGAAAATAAACCTTTTCACCAATCTTAAAGCACTTTTAATCACTTTATTCATATTTCCTGCTTTCGTTTCACTTGGACGGAATTTGTCAAATACTGATTTTATCATGCAAACATGACCTCCGCTGGCATCTTGGCAGATGGGCGCTGCTATTAGGAGTTACTCGACAGACTTGCAAAAACTGCTGTATCGGTGTGAGTACCTCTCGTCTTCCCCAGTGCTCTTAAAAATGTTGACAAAACGCTCTCTGTCCATTACTTCTTGGATGATATGGCTCTGTGGTAATATGTTCAATGAGGAATGACTGACAAAAATCCTTAAATTCACAGGATGTGAACTGTGTGCCATTATCTGTTACCACACAGTCAACAACTCTGAAACGGGAAAATAGCTCGTGCAAAAAATTTACTGTTACCTCCGCGGTTGGCTTCTTACATTTCAACACTTCTGGTCACTTGGAATAACTGTCAACTACTACAAGGTAGTAAAAACCATCAAGTGGGCCAGCAAAATAAATGTGTATCAGCGATCACTTTACTATTTAGTTTCTCCTTTACTTCCTTTATGAGCTCATTATCGGACGCTTTGTCTATTATCTCGTCAATTGTTATAGGAAGCTCCCTGACAGTATTGCACTAGGTACTTTTTATTTCAACCTCTGTTCTTATGGAGGCAATGATTGTGTCTTCCAGGGTTCAGCATACTTAGGTATCAATCTAGACAACCCGTCTGCATGACAGATTTTTAGCGGATAGGAGAAACTCCATTTTGTAGTTCTAATTGAAGAGAATGGTTCCCCATCTTTGCAGTCTATTAGCAGTATGTGTTGGCAGACCCTTTTTTGATCCAAAGATAGTAAGGAGTGGACGATGGTCTGTCTGAAACATAAAGTACCTTCCATGAATAAACAATGAAATTTAGTCACTATTTGCGATAACCCCTTTCAGCTGGTAATAGCGTCCTAGATTCATGGGCGATTGGTTTTACCAATCCATCCTTTAACTTGTATAAAATGCACACCCTGATGCCGTAGGAGATAGCATCGCTGGCTACAATGATGTCAAGGTTTGGATCGTAATGAGCCAGGAACAGGCCTGATGTAAAGACCTCCTATATTTTCTAAAATGCTTCCTGGCATTTGGTTGTCCATTCCCACTCTTTATCTTTTCTCAATAATTCATTAAGTGGAGCTCTCAAACTGTGCATTCTTGAAACAAAAACGTTGTAATAATTGGCAAGACCTAAAAAACTTTGAAGAGCCGATACATTTTCTGGTGCTGGTATATTCTTTATTGCCGTTGTCCTATCTGGGTCGGGAACTCAATTATTTGCCCCAAGTGCTTAATTCTCTCTAAGAAAAACTCACACTTCCCATCTTTTAACTTGAATCCGTAATCATGGATTCTCCTGAACACCTGCCAAACGTGCAATTTGTGTTCCTCAATGCTCTCACTTTTCATTAAAATGTCATCAAGATAGGCCACTGCAAAATCCAGACCATTTAACATTGTGTCCATGACCTGTTGAAAAATGGAAGGAGTGACCTTAACCCTGAACAGAAGTCTTAAAAATTTGTATAAACCCTTGTGGTTGTTTACATAAAGGAGCTTCAAGCATTCCTTGTCCACAGGTATTTGTAGATATGCATCACTTAAGTTGATCTTAGAAAAATATTTTCCTCCACTGAGCTTAGCGAATATATCCTCTGGACTTGGAAGAGGATAATGGTTATAATAGAGAAGTCAACACATACACAAATTTCTTTGCTCTTTTTTTTTTTTTTTTAATATAAACTGTGGGAGATGCCCATTCACTATAACCTTTTTTCAAACTTTGCCAGAACTCCTATTTCCTCAAGTCGATTCAATGTTCGTCAGTTTGATTTAATGAGGCAAATGGAACGTTACGTTTTTTCTTAAACTGGATCTGGCTTTAAATCAAACTTAGCAGACATTTTTGTGCATTTTCCTAGTCCTCCACTGAAAACATTGGGAAAATTTTTTTTTAAGTTCACTTTTCAACTTTTTTACTTCGTCAGTCAAATTTTCAACTTTTTGACATAATGAGTTAATAGTTATATCCTAAAGTTGAAACTGTTCTAACCAATCAGTCCTGAACAAATTACTCATATTCTTCATAATATACACCTTTAATTTTAAAGTTTTACCTTTAAATGACATGTTCGTTATAAGTTCACCCATAAACTCAATAAGATCACCAGTTACACTTTTAGCTATTCAGTTTGTGTACCCAGTATTTTCCATGTTTAATAATTAATTATGGATATGTCTGAACCTGAATCAAGCTGTAGCCTTATATTTTTGTTAAATATTTGCACTTCAATATATTGCCTGATGTTAAGACTTTCTGGTTCATCAGACTTGGTAATTTTTAAAATACATCTTTGTCTTGATTGTAATCCTGCAGTGGGAACTTTTGTGTCCCAATTTATCACAATTAAAACATTTTTCTATGTTTAAAAGGACAATCTCTATACCAATGTAATTAATCACACCTGAAACATGGTCCTGAAGGCAAAGTAGCTTTATTCTTTGGTTGGCGTATTTTTTTAATTTTTCTTTAGCGTATTTCTTTAATGTGAGCCACATCGCTCTGTTCAATGTTTTTTAGAATCCTCTCTGATGCTCACGAAATGTTGACAATCTTCGGCAATTTGCTGTAAAGTAATGTTGGGCTCGTTTTCAAGTTTGTTGAGTACCCAATGACGTATTTCGCTGAAATCAAACCCTGGATAAATATCAAGCATTTAAAATTATTGGCGCTTAACTCTGACAATTTGAAGTCATCACAGTGTTTATTGACTACACATGTAAAGTAGTATCATCTTCATCTTCTTTGCAGGTGAGATTCATGAATTTACAACACTTGTGGAACAGTGACGTTTTTGGACTGAAAAGTTCTGTTAATGATTGAACTGCCTCTTTAAATTTCAACTCACTGGTTTTCTTAGGCAAAATATAGTTAACAAACTTAGTATATTCTGCTGTGCCTAATTTCCTGAGGAGTATACGAACCTTTTTATGGTCAGCCCAACTTGCACAATCTGTATTGTATAAGTCTTCGTAATGTTTAAAGTACGAAATGAATGTAATTTCTTCTTCAGGTGGAAACATGAAGTTTTCAATAACACTCCATATAGCATTTTGAGAGAATGCATTATTGCTGTTCTCATTTTGTTTTTTTTTATGGACATATACAAGTGCCTTTGCTCATTCTGTGTTTGAAGGAGGATTTCTTCCAGTTTCTGTTGTCTAACCTGAATTTCTAGGTGCAATTCCTCAAATTTCTTCTGGTATTCTGCTTACCACACCATATAGGCAGTGCTAATCTCTCTCTCTCTCTCTCTTTTCTTTCTCTTCCTTCTCGCACTTTCTCAGCAGCCAAACTCAGCCCACTCCCTGGGCTGGAGTGACAAATCCAACTTGCAGATGGCACTGAAAACAAAAGGGACTTTCAGTCATTAGTCCTTATCTATCAGCTTATCCATGCTGGCATCTCTCAATCAACCAGACCACTGAAGAATTGGAAAAGGAAAGAAAAATTATTTCCATTCTCCTTAAAATGAAAGTTTATCTTTTCCATTTTTATGCATTTTTTTGTATGATTGAACAAACCAACCAGCCTTTTTGTTCATGGTCAATGGTAATTGATTTTTCCTTACCACTTGTATCCAAAGGAATCCAAATTAATGCTTGGATATAAAATTTTCTCTGGATGAATGTTACCGAAATTATAATGACGAACACATCCAGTTGGTCTCTATCTCTGTGGGTATACTTTTCTTTTGGGTGGCCAATTCAAAACATGTTTTTTTCTGGCACTTTCTATCTGGAGGAAGCATGAATGTTATTTATTTCGTTGATCGCCCTGGTTTCTTTATTGTCAACATGTTTTTATTTCATCTGACATCTTTGCAAATACCTTAACAGTCTCTTATCAGCAGGAAGTGGGGAATGATGGGTAGACTTGGTTTTACTCAATCTTACTTAATTCCATCTAGTTTAAACCCGTGTTTGATTCTCATTGGAATTATTTCAAAAACATTTTTTTTAAACATTTTATTAATTTTTTTTTTAACTTTTCCATCCATTTTCCTGCAATTTTGAATAATTATCACCCAGTTAGTAGACTTTCTTTCTTATTCCTTCCTTTTTTTTTTTTTTTTTGATCCACCTCCAGAGATCTCTGTGTCACGCAGTCGTGATGGAAAACAATGATGATGAATACAGCCCCTTTTAAAAATAACAACTGAAAAATATCAAAAAAAAACTGTAATTAGTGGCAATGCTTTGAAGTCAGGTATGGTTGAGCCATACTTGGTGAAGGAAGCATTTACTAATCTTTATGGAATAGTGTCAAAAATAAGACCAGGAACAGTTCTGGAGAGAATAAGAAGGGAGAGCTGAAGGGATATATATATATATATATATATATATATATATATATATATATATATATATATATATATTACACGCTTTGCTGAAATCACTTGATCAGTAGAGCAAGTATAAACATAAATAGAATTTGAGAGGAATTAGTAATTACAAGGGGAGAAATGACAACTTTCTGCTTCTAAAAACATTACTCCCCTCTTCTGCTGCTGTTAAAAAATGGCAACACTGATGAGGTTAATGTAATTCACTCGACACAAGGATTCATTGTGTGAGTCACAAGAGTACATGCCTTAAACTAAGGTTGGACATCCCAGAAGCCAACAGGAAGGTCAGAGAGTACAGTGGCTAGAAATAAAAACACTGAACTTAAACTGAACAAAAAAACACAATGCATAAAAAGTAAAATGAAAAAAAGACAAGGAATTTCTAACTCTACTTTTGGCTTGAGTTTGGCTGTTTTTTTTTTCTTTTTTAGAACTTGTCTACTGGTAACAATTTTTATCAAAAATTTGAGTTAGCCTTTTAATTCTGTAAGTCTGTCAGTATCAAATTCCTCTGAGCAGTATGCATAAAAAGTCAGTTTTTAAGATTTCAATTTCAATTGCTGAAACCTGTGTGTAATATACATAAGCGACACCAGGCTTTGTGTCAGTAAGTACTAAGAGTGGACTAAATGTCACTTAAAAGAACCTGTCAAGTATCTTCAGACATTCTAACCAGTGCTTAAGTTTTGTATTTGGTGAGTTCAGTTCAGAAATGGTTCCATTATGTCAAAGGCTAATGGGATGTGTGCATAAAATCTCTCCCTCAAATTTATTAGTTTCAAACAAGTTAAAAAAATAAATATGTAGATGTTTATTTTCTTGAATCAATTATAAACTACATCTGGCAGCAAGGCCTCTGATCGAGGAGATTTTGAAGAGTATGGACCCACCTCTTAATTGCTGTTGTTCCCAGGTCCACCCTGACCTAGGGTAGTAGCACCTGTTACGGTCCCAGCTATGGGAAAATAGTGAACCCCTAAACAAAAACTATAAAATATAAAAATACATATTTATAAAATGACCAGCAATACATTTTCTAGAATTATTAATACCTTTTATATCAAAATGACCAGCAATACATTTTCTAGAATTATTGATACCTTTTATATCAAAATGACCAACAGTACATTTTATCTGTAAATGAAGGCATACAACTGTGTTTAAAATATATTTAGTTGAAGGCATACAATTGCGTTCAAAAATATTTAGTTGAAGCCATAAAATTGTGTTCAAAATATTTAGATTTTGGCATTAAATAACCCATAGAGATGTTGATATACCACTAAACAAAATCAACCAGCTAACCTTTAATTAATTACTTATCAATTACTCATTTATTAAACAATTGAAATTTTTTCTTTTTGTTGTACAACTTTATCAAAACCTTTTACAATTTTTCCCCTTTTATTCTGGATGTCGAAAATGAAGAGAGAAAAACACTTGAAAAGCACATCTGACAAAATTCAAGATTCAAATATTACACAATATCAAACAAGCAAGCTTATATATTCAGCAGATTAGATAAAAATGTTGAATTTTTAAGGAATGTACTAATCCCCGGTGCACTGCTTTGATTGTTTGACTTAATTCTTGACTCTTCTGTTAATAGTTGCTAATGGGCTGCTATATCCATTTTCACTCATGACAAAAACCAATGAGAATGTTACCAAATTGGCAAAAATTCTTGTTTGATGCACAAATCGTTGTTTTGTTTCTTTTTGTTAATCTTGTTTCCTCTTTTGGATTGAAGAAAAACTTCAATATGTTTTAACATTTTTACTTTTTCTTTTTTTAAATATTGAGAAACATTTTTAATAAGAGATTTAATTTTTTTAAATTTTGTTAAAATTTGAGCTAAATTGAGTTAAATTGGATCTCTTAATTTTTGAAACTGTCATTGGTAACTGAAGAGAGACTTGAAGTGAATTGAAGCTTCACTCAACTACTTGTTAAGTACAAACTGCCAGAATCACTGACCAAGTGACTATTTATAGGAAGGAGTGTAGAACACTAAGTCATGTTATATTTAAATAGTTTGTGACATGGAATATTGATGACGTGTGAATATTTTACATAACACAAGCTTTTGAAAATTTTATTTAAAAGATGCAATTTTTTTTTGCTTTTCAAAATTCTTTGATTAGATTCAGGAGCAAAAGTACTTTGATTTTGTTCTAATATTTTTCTCTTGTGTTTCTTCTGATATTTCAGCCTCATTTACAGTCATTTCAGCGAAGGCTGTATCAAGCATGCTTCACTTGTCAATATCTGGCATTCCTCAGTTTCAATATTTCATGTTCTACATCATGTTGGCTGTCATGATCATCACAATTGTTGTTCAGATCAAGTAAGTCACACATTTTTAGTCTTTGCTCCTTCAGGTTTTATGATTAAGATTAATAGTCACCAAACTCACCACCATCAAAAAAAAAGAAAAAGAAAAGGAAATGGAATCAACCACTGGACTCAAGTTGAAATTCTGCCTTTTTTTTTTTTTTTTTTTTTTCCACTGTTTGAAATTCTCTCCTTCCTTTTTTGACCCTCTACGATTTGAAATAATTCACCAAAACTGTTCAGTTTTATTTGTTGCTATCATTCTTCTGACACTTGAATTATTTCATTTTCAAAGTGGCTAAAATGAAAACATGGGGCTTTACGAATTGATAGATATTGACTGAAGTTAAAAATAATTCAACTGGACATATCCTATATCTTTTATGTATTTGGAATGCAGGATAAAATTATATTTTTTTAAATATGCAATATTTTGAATGTTTTCATTTGTATTATTTTTTTGTTACAATAATCACTGATTGTGGGTGCTTACTATGAATAGAATTGTTTTTTTTTTTTTTTTTTTTTTTTTACCATTTTTAATCAGATGTTTAAAAAGTTTTCAAACTTCTCCAATCAATATTTAAAGTTGACAATATTTACAAAGGAATTAAACAAAATGATTTGCATATTTTACACACAGCATTTTTTCTACTTTCTGAATTTTTTTTTTCATTTGTTTTTCTGTTTTTTTTGTTTTTTTATTTTCTGTTTTTTCTTTTCTCATCTTTGTTTTAACTAGATCCTTCATCTCAAAAGTATATTTTTCTATTCTCTATAATAGAAATTTACTTACATTGGCAATTCTTTTTGTTTTTAACATTAAAGTTGTATTTAAATAAAGTATTTGTATTCCTTGATCATTTTTTTTCACCCAAGATTAAATTCAGGATAAATCCAGAATAAAAAAAAAATCAAAGCCACTTTTTCATCACATATACTGACTTCCTCCAAATGTAAATGAATTACCAACAAATAATGACTTAGTATTTAAATCTTTATCAACATTTACATGAAATTTGTTAGCAGATGACTCGCTTCATGAAATATTAACAGTTATTTAAAATTGCTTTGTGGCTAAATAAGTTCAAATAATTGTTAAAGAGACAGATTTTAAATTTGCACAGAAACTAACTTTGTCAAAAAATAGTTACCTCCCCTTTTCTTCATTCAAGAATTCTGGCTGCATCCACCAACATTTTGTTGTTTAACTAATGTTTTTACTTGTCCTTTTGCAGATACTTGAACCTTGCTATGAAGAATTTCAACTCTACTGTTGTCGTTCCAACCAATTTTGTTTTCTTCACCATAAGTGCCATCATTGCAGGTTTTTATCTTTTTTCTCTTTTTGGTATTGGTTAATTGAATTATTTTGTGGAATTTGTAGTCAAGATTTGTAGCATAATTTACAAGTGTGCAAGGGAGGAAACTAAAGGTGTTACTGGTGTGGATTTTACAAGTGGGTGAATTTATACCAGATGCCTGTTGGAATGGGAATTAAACTCTCTTAACCTCTTAAAGTTAATGTGAAAAGTTTAGATTGCCTAGATCATGAATTGGATTTTTGCAGGGAGTCTGGTTTTTCTTGTGAGCTGTTGGAGAAACAAAAAACAAAAAGCTTTTAATTACAATTAAATCAATTTGTACCAAAGATTGAACTAATGGCTTTAATGAGTTATCAGGATCAGGTAAACACAAAATAAAAGGGGCACCCACCCCTCACCTCCAGTTGCCACCAGCTGCCTCCTGAATTCTGCCTTGATTATCCATGAAATAAAACAATTCTGTAGAATGAAAGCATCACAACTCTTCCCATGATCTTGTTACTATTCAAATATACAAATCAACTTGTAACTGAACACCTGAAAGAAATGCATTACTCATAAATACAGGGACCCACTAAAAGTAGCGGTACTGAGTAGGGCAGTAGTTGATACAAAATGTAGCTGAGTCATACAGTTGACACCATACCAAACCCACCTATCACTTGGGCTCTTACTTCACCACCCCACCTTGCAAGATACTACCCAATGAAAATTTGATCAATTGAATAAATATTCCTTTGCCTAAGCAGATTTTGTTTGCAAACTGACAATTGACTGGAAGCGTCAAAGACCAAAGTTTGAATTATTGAACCAATTACTAGTCACCAGTCTGGAGCATATGTTGTTTTTGTTATCTACTGTGAATAAGGCCAACACTTATTAATTAGCCTTAGATTGCAGCAATGCAGAATTAAAAAGGATTAAACTTACAATTGTGATTGTTTCTACAATTGAGAGTCAGTTGACATTTCTGAAAATGGATTCCTTTATTTTTCTTATAACTCACCCACTTTGCTCTTGAGGACGCTTCAACCAGTTTCCTCAAATCAAAGACTTAAACACAATATGGGTGGGGAAAATTGGCTGGTGTAGTGAGATTACTAGGCAGTGGCACTAGGATGAAAAAACCAAAAAGGTTTTTGTTATATTACAGGGAGATGTAAAAAAAAAAAAAAATGGCTGATATAGTGAGATCACCAGGCAGTCCAATCTGCTTTGTAAAACTGACAAAATAACCAAAAATCAGTTTAGTGGGGGGGATGGGTTCAAACAACTTTTCAACACTCACTATCATACAAGAATTTTAATGGCTTCTTCCATAATGCACTTTAAATTATGCCCCTTTGATTGCTTCTGTCTCTTCCTATAATCACCATCTTTTGGAGATTAACTTTTTATTTTTCTTCCTCAGGAATTGTTTTTTATAAGGAATTTTTTGGAATGAGTGTCTTGGAAATCTGCATGTTTCTTTTTGGGTGAGTTTTTCAATTCTTTCTTTGTAAGTTTGAAACATCCTTTCTTTTATGAACTTTTTCTATGAAAATTCTGTACCAAAATAAGCAACTTTTAATTTATCCTTGACAGCATCGTTGATATAAAATAGTTATGTGCTTCCTTATTAATTTTAAGGCAAATTTTGTGCCTTCAAGTCTTGTAATTTCTTTCCTAGCCAAGTAGGAAAGTTGGCAATTTGTTGGTGGTGTGTCTGTACAGACACTCTTCTCAAACCACAATAGCAAAATGAGTCTCACCTGTAGAATCATTCTTCTGCTATCATCCAGGATCTATTGGAATGTCCTAATTGTGGAAAAGTGTATCGTGATAGGAACTAAACAACTTTGTTTGAAAAGGTCTTCAAAAACGATGACAACTTGCCACCAAAGACATTTTCAAATGTTTAAGCTTAATCTGACTGATAAATGAGAGGGTTTTGCCTCCAAAGACAATTCCCAAACTTACATGAGATTTATTAGACCAATTAAAAATATATATTTAAAACTTTACATCCACTTTAAACTTTATTTCATTAAAAAAAAAAATGAAATGCTTTTATACTTTGTACCTAAAAAAAAAGTTTATTCCTAAGACTTTTATAATCTTTACTCTTGTTATTTTTATGTTTATTGATAGATATTTTTTTTATTTTTTGGAGCTTTTTTTTTTGCTAGGAGCTTTTTTGTGTTCTGTGAATCAACCAAACTGGATTAAGAGTCCATTCCATGAAATGACAGAAATTGAAGAATTCTGGCAATGAACCACTGAAAACTTGTGATTATTAACACTTAGCCATAGGAATACAAAAATGTTACTCAATATTTGCCAGTTTTAAACAAGGAAAACAATTTTCCATCTTACAAATTTTGATATTTTATATATTAAACTGGCCCCCTTACTTCAAATATATAACAAAAGGGGAATGGCCACCTTGGAATCATTCATTACTTGCATAAAACTGACAAAGTTTACATGACATTGCCTAGAAATGATGATTTTCTATTCAGCAAAGTCACCTCAATCCCTACTTTGGCCCAACACATCATTTTTTTATCTGTCTGTTAATTGATTGGTGCTTTTCCAGTGTAAATATAAAAATGAAAGGAACCTTGCAGTCAAAGGAACATTTAATCTGAAGATAAACTGACAAATGCTGTTTAAATATCGGGTGAAATTGGAAACATTAAGTTCTTTTTAGATTTTTTTTAATATTTGTAATTATTTGAAATTGTCATTTTTTTCCAAACAATATTGAAAACCAAAGCCAAAATTTAATATTTTCTTTGAATTTTTATTACTTGTCTAAATTCCTTAAACTTGGGAATATTGAATAAATAATCAATGAAAGTGAAAGCAAATAAAAAAAAAAAAAAATGACTTATTTTATTCCCTAGCCTGAAGGATACATTCCAATTGCAAAATTTTGAACAAAAATTAACAAAAACATCCCAAAATTAAGTAAAATTTAAAAATCCTGACTTTTGAACTGTAAGAGGCAGGATAAATTTTTGAGAGTTAATTTATGAAAATTTGAATTCCTGGGAAATGCTGCTATTTTTAATGAAATATTTCCAATGTCAATAGAAGTCAGTTATTTGAGTTCAAATTGTTCCTTTTTCATTGTGTCATCCAAGGTGATGATGATTGCAGACAATGCTTGGGCTAATTCAAAATTACTTTATTTAATAATCATAAGAAAAAACAGTTAGCAATAATTTGAACTTAGTGAATAAAAGGCAATATTATGTAATATGACACAGATGATTGGATACAGTGGGTCTTAATGAGTGATTCAGGTGATGTAACGCTTCTAAAAACTTGTAAAAATTGAGCAAAAGGAGTTTGGGGGAGGGGTTTTGCATTTATTTCCTTTTGGAATGTCCTTGAATGCAAAATGAAAACTTTTCCTTTTGGTCAATTTTTTGGGTGGACAAACCGATGTGCGAACCAAATTCTTTTCAGCCAAATCTTATCAAAAATTTATTTATTTTTTATTTATTTTTTTTTTTTTTTTTCAAGATATTTCTGCAAAAGAAATTAGTTATCAGAAATTCTATCAGAAAACCTTGAAATATATATTTTTTTTATTTATTTTTCAGTTGTTTGTTGTCATTTGTTGGTGTTTATTTTGTGACCGGGGAGAAAATTCTTGGCCAGTCAGAAGATCCGCAACTAATGACAGACGAGGAAGAGAAACCCATTGCTTCTACAGTTCCATGTAAAGTATCAGACCTTTTCAAATTTCTTCCTGATTATTTTTCTGTGTGAAATCCTCCATCACAAGTGAAGTAGAAAAGGCATGACAGCCTCATTTGCCATTTGGTAAAATATGGAAGTGAAGTCTCTACTAAATTTCATGCTCTATTCATTTCACTTTAACAAACACGGACATTGGAAAAATCCGAGGTCTCTAGATGCGACACTTTGTGCTTATGTTGATAAATGCATAAATCCCTCTCTTTCCTGCAGCTGTAAAAAAAAAAAAAAAAGAAAAAAATATGGCAGGTTCGACCCCTGACCTTGTTTGGCAACCAAAATAGGAGAATGACAACTTTTAAGGCAACTGGATTCACAGTTTACAAATATTAAAATGAAAGGAAATTATGGAGAGACATGACTGCCAGCGTCTTGATGGGACATGGCAGTTAAGTATAAATGCATTTAAACAGTGACAACTAAGAATTTTTGCAATTTCTTTTTCATTTAATTCAGTTTTGAGTTTCTAATTTATTTGAATCTTTTCAAAAAAGACTTCCATTTTTTCTTTTTTTTTTTACTGAGTATTGAAGCAGTTGTACAAAACTATCATTGAAATGATCATAAAAATCACACAACAAAGAAAATATCTTTCTAACCATTTTGTAATTGTAAGAGAAATTTAGGATTTTTAGGCCAATTGAAATCTTTACAGATATACTCTATCTGAAATTATGACACACTAATATATATATATATATATATATATATATAAAAAGTAAACATTGAAGTCAACACCTAGAGACAATAGTTTATTTCACGCTTATCCCAATAGTCAGGACATGATGGAAACAGACTATCACCTCTGGTTGTTGACTTCAATGTCCACTTTTATATTTACATACACTCTATCCCTGATATTGAGCACTTTAACCCATAAATATAGCATACCTTAAAACACACATATATATATATATATATATATATATATATATATATATATATATATAGAGAGGAGGATGATATTTTTTTTTTTTCCCATTGAAACATAAATGTAACCGTTTTGTATTGAATTTGGACCAGTTTGAGTGATTTCACCAATTTCCTCTTTTGGTAAAACTGTTTCTAGTGCTATTCATAGACTTCTAATGGAACCTGTTTTTACTTCCAGATGCCCACTCTGATCCTGCAAAAGTTTGGTGAGTTAACAGGTTAGGTTAAAATGTCTTGCACCAAACTTTAAACCACCAGACTAACACTGTAACCATCAAACTCTTCTCCATACTAATGTATTCCAACTAGTAACTGATTAACAAATGTTCCTCTAGCTTCAATTCTGATTGAACAGCTCTCTGTAAAGTTTGAAGTTTCCTGTTCCCTGATGAAATCTCTAAGAGTTCTTAGGGCAAATGGTAACCTGATACTGAATGGTGAAAACCTAATCAGGACTCTTTGAATACAGGAGACATGGTTGTGTCTTGAGTGAAGGAAAAAAAATCTACCAAAATTTTATTCAATACTGAACCTATTTGTCATGTTTCTTCACTTTGCAGTGTCTATTTTGCTGACTTACAATACTGAAGCCATTTCCTGAGGCTTTTAAGTGAGGCTTTCTTCTTCTTGGATTTTCAATTGATGATGTGTAAGAATCCCAAGAAATCTTCAGCTCTCTGTGAGGCGTAATTCGGAAATCTTCACAACTAATGTTGAATTGTTCAGTTGCGATTAGTTTTCCTCACTCATTGTTTGATTATTGTTGCACTCAAGTTCCTTTTTTTTTTTTTTATCTTTAAGTTTTTGAACTGTGAATCTGTCACTGAACCGTGGAAGAATAAAAAAGCTCTTTTAAAACAGAAATAGCATCTGACAAAGAGTTTGTTTAACAAAATGACAATGATTTCTTTTACAAGACAGTTTAAAATGAAGTAGATAGTGAATTTGCTTCTCCCTGAGTGTTCAACAGTCATGTCCTTGTGACAAATGCAGCCATGCTTAGAAAATACATACACGAAACAGTGTGTGTGTGTATTTTTTTTAATTTGTTTCATCATTGATCAATTTTCCTTCATCAAAAAATAATCAAATTTATCTGAAGAAATCTTAGACAAAGGAAACTCCCTCCACCCCTGCATTATGAAGCGTACACCTCCACTAAATTTTCTTTTTAAATAAGTAAGGTGATAAGAATGTAAAAATATTTTCATTAGAATTCACTGGAATTTGTATTTTTTTAAACTAGTTTAATGGAACAAATAAAACTCAGTCGGGATTCCTCTCAACTAACAACTTCAATTTTCAATTTTATATTTTTTTGGTTTGTGACTCTTTTCAAAATTTGGTTCAATTTGAAACAAATTGGTTTTTATTTCCTGTATGAATTTTTTTTTCCTTTTTGAGAATTTAATGATGAAAAATGAATGGGATATTATTTATTTGTCAAAAGAATTGATTAGAAATTCTTTGTGGTTTTCTCATGGCAATCATATTTTGTTGGAATTGATTATCAAAAGGAAAAAGTTCCATGAGAAAATATCCTTGAGTATAACAGACACAAAAATGGAAATTTTGGATTCTCTGGTAAATCACTAAAATTTTTTTTTTTTTTTTTTTTTCAATGAATAAAAGACAAAAAACTATGAAACCAAAATATGAATGACATTAATAAATTGAGGAAAATGAAAGTCAACTTTTGCTAAAAGTGGATGAATCTTTTTATCTCAATTTGGCATTTTATGTCAAGCATTAATTAAACAAAGTTTTTCACTGATAATTCTTAGTATAATCCCTAGACACAAAATTCTGGTGAGAAGTCTGGATATAATTCATTAAGGAAGTTAGAGCCATATTTGCATTTAATGTCGGTTAAAGTCATATGTTCAAATCCTGCTGGAGGAACCAAAGTTGAATTTGCAACTTGTAGATTTTGTGTAACTCAAAACAAATTTCCAACATTCACCTGCAGACATCTGGGTAGAGAAATGCTGTGCATGAAGTCAATGCCATGCTCTCTTCACCTTTTGAAGTGTAAGAAATTGCAATGGAAGGCATCAAGCTATAATCAATTTCTTACCAGGGACTCTATAAAATGGCCTTTTGCCATCCTTGTACAGTAAATAAAAACTAAATTTGGAGAAATTTCTTTTATTTACAAAGACAAATTGTATGGCATCAACATTGACAGAAATTATGCAATATAATATTTTGGCCCATCTGCTGAATTCTGACTGATGCCAAAGGTCAGGGTTCAGTCCCCCGTAAAGTGCTGCTTTTCAAGGCTTACATGTCTTAGCTAGACAAGCATTTCTGAATTTGAGTGAAAATTTTGTCCACAAAATGTTGGATGTCAAATAATTTGATTTTTTTGTATTTCTTCAGAAATAATTATCAATGCCATAAAATTGAATATTTTGTCAAGTAGAGGAACCAAAGAATTAAGGTTTTTGTGGGAAAAGGTTTTGGGAGGGGAGGGTGTCATTTTCAGAGACAATAGAATTAATAATCTGGGCTTGAATTTTATTTGTGTTCCTTTTACACTTATACCTAAAAAGAAAAGGCATGAATCTACCTTTCCCTGCACTGTTGTATTGTCAAATGTTTTGACCTAACTCTTCTAACTTTATTTTGTTGAACTCTATTTAAATTAAAAAATACTAATCAAATTCAGTTATGAGTTTTTAATGCATATTTCTGTCTTATTTTCAGTTGCTTTTTATTGCAACTTATCAATCATCATTTCACAATTATTTGTAAAGCCACATGGTTGAGAAGTCGTAAACAGCTGAACTGATTTACTGATGGGGGGGGTATTAATTAGTTCTTTCTTTTGGCATGCAATAAAAAAATTCTTATTTAGTGTGAAATTGAAACAAAGAATTTGTTTATTTCCAATAATTTATACATAAAAAAGAGAGGTATCGAAGCTTGCTCATAATATTAAAGCTAGGAAGAGAAAAATATCCATACGAAACTAAGGGGGGGTATTAGTTACTAAAGGGGGGGGAAGAAATCCTTGTTAGAATCACAACAAAGTTCATGAGGTGTTGTTCATTTACTGACCTATTCGAGGGTGATAGCAGTGGAAACGTCCTTAATTGGATGGAAGAAGTGCTGAATAAATGTTGTTTGTAGTAAACTTGTAGCAATTGATAGAGCCTTCAAGTATTATGGTACTAGTGAGATATCTTGTATCCTTGAGGAAAACTTGGTGGGTTTGTTTCACTGTTCAAAATTGTCTTTTCATATGTTTTGTGTCATTAGTTGGCCGCCACATGGAATCTTTTGAGTCTAACAGTCGTTTCTGCTGAAACGTTAATTGATGTGCTGACTCCATTCATCATGACTATATATTGTCATGGCATGAATCGTCATTTAAGCTTAACAGCTACTCCCCCCACCCAATATTTGTACAGGTTGGCATGATCACAAAGCTTTTCAAAACCATTTTTCCAACTGGTTGAAATTAATTCAAAAGAAGAGGAAGTCTCAGGAAATCAAGTTCAGAAACAAGGCAGCCATATAAAAAAAAAAAAGAAAAAGAGGTCTCATTCGAACGCCTCTGGGCAGCGGTAGGTGGGTAGAGAATAGAGCAGCATTTCTGCGATTTTGTGTTTGTATTTTAATAATTTGTAAAAAGCAATTCTATCCTAATTCACTTTTGACAGTAAATAGCAGAAAATTATCTCCCAAGAAAAGTATGAAACTTATAATTTTCACTTTGTATTTTGCAGCCTGGTTAATGGCAAACATGCATCAGAATCCAGTACAGCCGAAGAGGGAACCAAATCCGCATTTATCTGACAATGAAAGAAACCTCGTCCAGAATTTTACTTCTTCATCTTCTTCATCTGATTCTTTTGGTTCACAGGATACACTGTTTGAAAAACATACAAAAACAGCTGCAAGGCATTATGGGACAAACTATTAAGTTGCGGTAGGTGGATTGTTTGGGGGGGTGTCACCTAGTACAGAACCAAACAAAGCAATTTTAAATGCTCAGATGAAAGTTTCACAATCTTTGTGTGTGTGTGTGTGCGTGCGCATTGACGGAGTCCCTCTACTCCTAAAACCTTGGCTACATAATCTTCTCTTAATACAGAAATTTTGTACATGACAAAGACCATCTGAAAGCTTAAGAGGCTGTGATGCTGATTTTAGTTAAATTTATACAAAAAAAAAATTGTTGGTCCATGATACAGCTCTTAAGTGTGACATTTTATAAATGCATTTGGTGTTTGAACAAATTTTCTAAAGCTTAGAAATCCAAGCTGGTGTTAAAATTCCCAAGACTCCAGAAGTAAATGTTAACTGCTTAATATCTGACAGGCCAACATTTGGGAATTCCATGGGTCATAAGTAACAAATTGACTCCAGAAATAAAATAATTGACAAGTTAACCTCCTGCATGTTGCTTTTCTTCTGCAATTTCCCCATCCTCTCGGGAAGAGTTGTCTACATTTCTTTCTCGGTGAAGAGAAAGTCAAGTCCGTGTTTAGTCCTTGATTATTTTCAGTGCCTTCTCCAGATCAAATTCTTTCTCAACTTGCCAACAACGAGGAAGCAAGAAAAACATTTTTTTCTTCTTTATAACTAAATTAATTCTTAAAGGACAAGAGAAGACAGACAAATCTTGTTCTTGATTGATATTTAAATCTCTTTGCTATGTAGAAATCCTCATAGGGGATGGGTTGCTGTTGTTGTTTGTTTTAATGAAACTTTTATCACTGTCTCTAACCTCTTAACCAATGTTTTGTTGCTATTTTTTTTTATGAATTCTAAGTAATAACTTATTTTTAGTCTAAGGATGTTATACAATGTTGATTGCTTTGTTTGTTTTATAACAGAATCTGGAGAAAAAGATATTGAAATCTTTTTTAGACCAGAACAATATTTGGAAAATCAATGACAATTTCATGTCATTTAGTTTATCCTTTAGGACTTTATCAAACTAAAATGAAATTTACATTGATATGACAATATGTGTAGACAAAAGAGGGAATGCTGAAATTTTAAAATTTAAACTATTTTTAAAAAATTTTTTTTTTTTTTTTTTTTTTACTAAGTTTCTTTTATAACTTTTGTTATTAATTATCCGACATTGTGATAATAGAAGATCTGCCAAGAAAGGTGAAATGTAAGAACCTGGACACAAATTTCTTTTTTTCATTTTTTTTTTTAGTAGAATTTAAAAGTTTTTCAAGTTTTTGACATCTCTCACTGAATAAAGATATATTGACATTTGAGATGTTAAAGAATAAAAATGATTTTTCAGATTTGACAAATAAAAGCTTAATTGTCAGCTAAATCAGAAATTTAAAATGTACATAACAGGAGAGAATCCTGCCATAAATTAGAAAAATAAATCTTGAAAAATGACGACATTAAAGAGAAAAAAATTCTCTCATCAGAAAAGAAAAATTAAAATCTTGTTTCCATCTTAAATATTTTAAACTTTTGAGTAAATCCTTTGCAAAGAAATTTTTGGGTTTTTTAAGGAAAACCAAAATATTAGGAAATTTTGCTGTCATGGTTACTAACAAAATAAATTTTATTTTGCTTAATATTATTTAAATTTAAACATTAAAATTTTCTGACTAATATCCTGATCAGTAACATTTCAGTTTGGCATTCAATAAAAGTTTGCCTCCTGATTCTGCCAAATACTTTACATTGTTTTTGATATCTTTCAAAATAATTTACTTTTAACTTCCACCTGCATCTACATTAAATAAAGACTGAATTGAAAAACTTCACTTTCTGAGATCCCCCCCCCTCTCCATCCTGTTACAAATGGTAGTTAGCTTGGGTTTGTGCGCCAAAAGAAAAGATCAACTATAAAAAGTTCCTAAGGTAAGTGATGAATACCTTCTACTCAGAGGAGGCAATCAAATGTGCATGGAAAGAAACAAAGAAAATAGAATTGTCAAAACCAGTTTTAACTTTGCTATTGTCTTTAAAAAGGAAATCTCAGAGTAACGATGGTGCTTCATTTTAAGGTTTCCAATAAATGAGGGTCACCTAGTACAGAACCATTCAGTATGTTCAAAGCTACTTTGTTAGTAATTCCCACAATTCAAGAGTTAAAGAATTCAAAACAAAAGTGAAAAAAAATTTGATTTACAAATAATTTTTTATTTTTATATATTGATGGCCTACAAGTTTTTTTTTTTTTTTTTATCCCAATTTTTAATTGTTGTGTGAATCTGTGCTGTATTCTTTTTCTTGTGAGCAAATGAAAGCATTGTTGATACAATGGGTCAATTTTATATTTTTTGGTAAAATTCTTTCAGATCTTAGAGAATTTGTTTTACTATTGAGTTGGTGTTATACATGTAATACATTTTCTGCAAGACAACTAAATTTTGGGGATTTGAATAATGACCTTTTGTGACCAGAAAAGCCATTGTGGTATTGAAAATTTTGATAATTAGGTTGTTAATATTGAACCGAATAAGAAACCTTGATAAAGATTGACATCTGCAAAATTTTCTATTTTAAATTAATTGTTAAAAAATATAACTTAAAATGACTCAAAGACCAACCTCAAAATATTTGCTAATTACCAATGAGAAGCCTATTTTTTTTCTTTTCCTTTTCAAACAAAACTATAATTACCAATGGGGGGGACTTTTATATCAGATTGCAGTTATGCATTCATGTGAAACATTTCAGCACACATGGATATTATATTGACCATAGCTAGAAATGTTAGGAAACTACATTTAGATTGGAGGCAGTCACATGCAAATCATTTTGGCTTAATATTAAGCTAGTTTTGGTAATTACCAAAACCTAACAGATATTTTACTAAACTGAAAACACTTGTTAACCCTTAAAACTGATGACTGTATTTAAGTGATAAATGTTTGTTTCATCTTGAATTATAAATAAAAAACAATCTTTAAAATAGTGTTGCATTTGAAAAATATTTTATGAATGAACAAGTTCAGAATAATTCATGACATTTTAAAATCTAGTATTTTTAGTGGTAATATGATCCAGTTTTTACCCTTTCATAGTTTTATCACAGATCTAGAATTGACTTCTTGTACTATTAAAAAAAACTTACAGCCTCATTTACCCTCTCCCCACTAAAGATGTCCTTGTGCCACATTAAACCATGTTTAGTAAATATCAGTTATCACTCCACATCATAAAAATATAATTGCTAGAATTCTGCTATTAAATTTATTCCTCTCACCAACTAAAATCCATGGCTGACTGAGGTGACTGCAGAGTATTTCCTCAATGGAACCAGTTTAGCACTTGAACTCTGGGAAAATATCAGGATTTGAAATATAGATTTTCATGGCAAGCCATTCTTCATTTAGCAGATCATGTAATTCCAATTTGGTCCCTTACTAAACTAAATTATTTACTAATAGAAGAAAAACCAAGGTTTGAAAAAAAAAACAAAACAAAAAAAAAAACAACTTCTGTTTATCAAAATAGATGCAAAGATTTCCGCTCTTTAGCAAAAATTTAGACAGATGTCATGTGAGATAAACATTTCAAATTTTAGTTGGTACATTTTCTGGTCATTTAAAAAAAATCATTTGAAATAATAAGAGACTTTATCAGAACTTGAGGTAACCTTTTATATCATTTGTCTGTCATCTTCTGAAGAGTAGTGAATGTACCAGCTGAAATGTTATTTCAAAGCAATAAACATACTTGTCCACTTAATCCATACAAGAATAAATATCTTAATAAAATTTATTACATTTTTTTAAAATTAAATTCTGAAGAAAAAATCTATTTTTGTTTTTTTTCATCTTTTTTTTCAAAATAAATTTACACAAATGAACAAAAAAAACAATTTTATTCAATTCCTAACATGTTTGAGTTTAAAATTTGGATTTAAAAAAAAAAAAAAAAATTTCTTTTGGGTACTCTATTTTCCTCAGAATGGATATTCTTGCAATGCAAGAGTTTTTCCTCTTTTTTGAATCATTTATTTATTCTTTTTTTCTAATTTGAAGACTAAACGATAAATATTAGGAAGTTTATAATTTCAGTTTTCTAAAGGGAAGAAATAAAAATGGCTAATCATTAAAAAAAAAAAATATTTCAGGTCAGATTTGGAAATGTGAGCAAATTAGAAATTGAGATTTATGTTTTGTTCCATCTCGGCTTTGTCATTTGCGAAATTGTCCTTTCTTTTTGTGTGTGTGTGGAAATGGCTGTTTTGGAAAGATACAAGATAACGGAACAAAATCCATTAAAATGTTTAACAAATTTTCACTGAGATGTTTTTGTTTTCCTCTTATTTAATTTTTCTTCTCATTTCCGTCTTGAGTTTTTTAAAAGAAATTATGGAAACAATGAAAAGACTAAAAATGTTTTGACTCCAAAAAAATTTGAAATTGATATACAACATTTAGAAAAAAAAAAAAAGTACAATCAATATTGAACTAAAGAAAAAAAATCAGTTCACCTGATGAGAGAATTTATTTTTCCAAGTTGCATTCACTTTTGACATAAAAACTGAAAATCTAAGCCAATGTTTTAAAAATGAAAAATGATTTGAATAAATATTGAAATGTTTAAACATTTTGATCATAATTGTAAGCAATTATTATTTATTTAATAAATTAAGAGGGGGGGTAGTTATTTTATTTTCAAAATTTTCATGTCCATTACATTTTTGTGTCAGACTTAAAAGAATTTCTCTACTGAAAAGGAATCCTTGTCAAAATTATTTATTTGAAGAATAAACTGATTCAACAGCCACATTTCTTGTTTGTTAAATGAGACATTTTTGGTTTGGTTTGTTTTGTTTTATGGAATATCAGCCTCAA